ACAAGATGTAGTATTTATTTAAACGCACCATTTTTACCATTGCAAAGATACTTGACACTGAATTATATGTCCAGGATATATAATGTGCTGATGGAACTAAACATGTTAATTATCATTTTATCTGCTTGACCGCAAACTCTCAATTATTTGCAAACGTCTTAGTGATTAGCTGAATTATATGTAAGTTATCTGCAGTGTTCAGTGGCTCCAGAATATGGAGATCGCTGTCATTGAAAACAGCCAACTTTTCTTGGCAGTCAACTTAGTGAGATAAACAGCAAACTCTTGATCAATGCTTTCTTACCTCTCTCTCCTAGTACCTCTGCAACAAGCGAGTGTAATCAGCATTAGTCGATTCCCTCAACATGACTGATCCACAAGGCATTCCAACAAATGGCTGACTTCACCTTGAACAAGTCTGTGGCCACTTTGCCCTCTTTGTGCCATCTGGGAAGTAAACACACAAAAGCAAACTTGATTGGTGGATGTCCCAAGTCAAACCTCTTTACACAGAGTTGAAAGAAATCCACATTACAGCCACCTTTCAAAAATGGCTAAATAATTTCTGAATATATATTTCTGTATTTTCTGAAGCCAAAAATATACCCAGAATGTAAAAGCTTTTTGTTAAATAATCCAAATATCAGATAAAATAATCTGTATTAGAAACAAAATTCACATAGGGAACTATATTCAATATCTTGGAGTAACCTATAATGAGAAAGAATATGAAGATGAATATATATATGTATTTGTCTGACTGAAGCATTATGCTGTACACCGGAAATAATTGACAAATTGTAAACTGCCTACACTTCAATAAATAAATAAATGGATAAAGAAAAAAATTCGGAGAAGAACCAGAAACAAAAAAAGTAAACACAAAGGTCTGTTTTCCTTCTCTTGAAATCTGCTTTGCATGAAGCCCCTCACCTACTCCGTAGAACAGCAGCGTAAGGGGAAGAGAATCAGTCACCAAGGACAGCTGGGTTCTTAGCCAAGGGTATTCTCTAAACTCAATGACTATAAGGATCAGTGGCTATGACTTTCTTAGAAAGTTTTAGGAAGGAGGTATATTCTCCAGTATAAATGTTATTGTGTTAAAATTCTTAAAATGCTCTACATAATTTCTGTTTATTCCCTGTGGTCATTCTTTCCTTTATAAACCTAGTTCCCCTATGGGAAAATTCTTTTCATGGATAATATCCTAACACATAGTCCTTTTAAAACTATAGAGCCAAGAAAGTTTTCTCCTAATGTTAAATACCTTACTGCTGAATCCCAGTGCCCTGAAGGCACAAATGGAGCAGCATGGCATAACTGAGCAAAGGAAGAAAGAGGTACCACTGCTCACAGCATGAGAAACCACTTCTAATCAGAGTTTCTTTAACTGAGTCTGATGCACAGACACAATGCATGTATTTACAATCTGAGTTCAAATTAAATTACTTGATTCCAAGGTGGCTTTTTTTTCTCCCCCTCTCAGGAGTCTGAGTGTCAAAAAAAGCACTTTGGCAACTTGAAATAGTACTGAACACTGAAAAGAGGACCATTCCTCTCATTTTCCAATTATAATTCTAGGCCACTGCTCTTTATTTTGCAGATGTTCTAGATAATGGGTTTATCCTCTTAATACACACACAAATAGTGGAGTTCTTTGAAACATCTTTTAAAACTTCCAAATCAGCATCAGTTGTTTAAAAGCGACTGAAAAATCTTACTGGAATATTAAGGGTTTGTCCCCACAGATTGCCCCAGTGAGAATGGAATTTACTTGTAAACTTAACATAAAAAAATTAAAGCAGAGACTTGATTTACTTTTTTTTTTTAAATATCTTATCTAAACATTCTGGGTCTGAAAGACGCTAAGGAAACATACTTGTTCCAGGTGAACCAAGGTTAACTTCTCAAGTCATCTGAGGATACTGATTGAAAAATTTATGACCACAATATACAGTGTTACTGGCCAGAAATTTATGACCAGAAAAGTGCACTTTGAGGCTGTAGGTGTCAGTGCAATCTTCTTTAGTTTCAGGGGAACACAGTAGGCTCTTTAGAATCATATGACAACAGTGACTCAGAAATCATGCCTTTCAGATGGGGATGGTACTGCAACTGAAGTCCTCTGGTTCAATATAAACCCTAAACAATAGCAGCCTTTTCTGGCTTACTGCCTCATTTTAGTAGTTTTATTTCTGTGACCTACCCTCCTTGGTGTCTTCACAACCTGAGTGTAACCAACTGAATCTGACCATTAGCCAGAGCTTTAAGATCATTTTAAAATCTGAGTTCATTTTCCCTGTCACTATTTCTGGATATCACTCCTTTCATTATGAATCTTATTCTACTTAACTGAGGCACTCTTAAGTAAAAGGTTAGAGACCAATTCAAGTAACTGAAACTCCAGCTGAATCAGCAGTCCCTGATTCTCTTCTTTCTACCTTTACCATTCATTCCAGCTCTTCTCAGGGCTCTGGTGTAAATTTCTCACCACCATAACTACAGAAATCCAGTAAGGGAAGATTGATTGCCCTATTATTCTGACCAAGGTGGAGATACATCCATTTTCCTCTTGGTTCCATAAAGGAGACAAATTTATAGTTTAGCTAAAAGAATAAACATTTATTTAGTGTCTATTATGTTAGTCATTTTATATACAATATTTCATTAGTGTTCTTAATGAAGCAAGTATCCTATTTCACAGACAAGAAAACTGAGGATTAGAGAGTGAGAGTCAATTTCTGCAACTCAGACTGGCAGGGCCAGAACACAAACTTGAGTACGTGCAACTCATCCTTCCAATGCAGGAGGAGGCCACGAGTGTAAAATCCCAGAAATGGCCAAAACGTCAGGGTTACAGAGCACATATTTCTTATCTTTAATTAATTACTTAATAAAAACCACAAACTGACTTAATTGAATCAGTTTAAGGTCCAACCCGTCCTAGTTTCTTTTTGACGGTGAGTTCTGTCTGTGTGGATACTGGTGAATGGAGACTTGTCAAAACCACTCAAGCTTCTAATCTAAGAAAGATTTTGACTGGCCCACAGCCAAGCCCGGAAGGATCTCCATCACAGTCCTTTCACTGAGTGCAGACCTCGTGTCTTCCCTTATGCATCTGTGCCTGCTACTCTGAGGACTGATGTAGGAAGTTGGACTCACTCACAGCTCTCAGGACCTTGATGATAAGGTCAACAAGGGTCATCTTTCCCAAAAGGCTTACAGCAATGTATCACTCTAATGACCAAAAATCATCATAACAAGGGTTGGATATCTGTGTTGAACTATATTCACCGAACTAGGAGCAGTCATCTGAGGAAGTCCCTACAGTGGGGACAAAGGAAAGTCAAGAAGCTAATGAGTATGGAAACTGGCCTCTGGCCAATCGTCTAAAAGTCAGGAAGGAAAGCAGGCTGACTTAGGGCAGTCTGACAGCAGGTGGCATGGAGCAATCACCAGAATGAATAGAAGAGATTTATTAAGGGTTTAAGAAAGATTAACATGAACAAGACAAAACAGCAGGCTCAGGTGGGTAGAGGGAAGATAGGAGGGTCTTACAGCAAGGTCTCAAGTCTGCTGTAATAAAAGCAGAATCCTGGGTATTCAAAGTGCAGTAAAAAAAAAAAAAAGTAGGGACTTGGTCACAAAAATCAAGGCAGGTAGGTGCCCTTTTACTATAATTATGGTAAAAAAAATTGTAACATCAACAGCAAGGTTGATTTCTTCCTGAGTTATACTCCTTAAATTCTTCCAGACAAAGACTAGAACCAATTTCAGTGCCTGGGGAATTCTAAATGGGAAGATTCAGGCAAAGCCAAGTCCAGCCTCCTGAACTCAGTTTCAAAGGCTGTGTATTCCTTTAACTGAGCATTAAGCAAACTTTGCCCATGAAGCACCAAATAGTAAAAATTTTAGGGTTTGAGGGCCATTCGTTGTGGCAACTACTCAAATCTGCCAGTGCACAACAAAAGTAGCCACAGATTTTATATAAATAAAGGAGCATCACTGTGCTCCCGTAAAAATTTATTTTTGGATGTTGAAACTTGAATTTCATATAATTTTCACATGTCAGGGAATATTATTCCTTGTGAGTTTGTTTTTCCCTGAATCACTTATAAAGATAAAAACCATCCTAGTTTACAGGCCATGCCAAAATAGACTGTAATCCAGATTTGGCCTCCAGTCCATAGGTCACCAACCACTGCATTAGATGACATGGTGCTTTAGAGTTTCCTGTGCACAAGTCCTCTCTAGCTTCCTCGTCATTTGTAGAACAGGGAGCAGTGACAATTCTTCAGTTAAATGAATGACCACACCCTTGGTACATAAAGTCCTTCCCAATGTACCTAGATTTCCCTCTCAAATTTTTATTAATGGGAGGTGCAGTATAAGTAATGTCTACATCCCCTTTGCATGATTCTTTGATCTTCATTTCAAAATGCTGTATATAATGTACAGTATCATCAAGAATGGCAGTATCAACATTTATGCAAACACAGAGGTACACAGTCAACTCCAGATTACTAGGTCTTTCAAACTCTCAAGTTGTTTAATTTATTAAGTTATTCCTCCCCTCTTCTTCCCCGAGAATGATCTTCAATAATGCCTCACAGTCTGAATCTATACACACACAATCATATTTTCCAGGAAATAAAAAATAATTTTCTCTTTACACATGCTCATTTGTTGCTGGCCTTCTCATAAAACAAGCCCAACATTTGAAGGAAATCACCTTAGTCTGAAGTAAGTTGACCAGTTGATCAAGTCCAGTGAGCAGGTTGATGGTGGGTGGAAAGATGGAGGTGCGGGAATAACTCTTAACAACTGAACTATTGAAATGTTCCACATTTCTCCAAAAATGAAAAGGTTTTAAGTTTTTTTTCATAGTAGGGTTTTTTCTGTAATGTATTTTAAAGACTTTCTTTATGAGTACCAAAGTAACATGTTTTTGGTGTGTATAATAATTTTAAATCTCTCCCCTCCATCCTCATACCCTTTCTGGTTCTTCCAAAATAATACTTGATAGAAGCTTTGGGATTCTGCTTCCTGTAGTTAATCTTTGCTACTGTCATACCTCTCACTGTAATCAAGTATGAAAAGGTTAAAGCACTCATATCATCAGCCCTACCCAGAAACATCCTTTTTCCAACACAAGAGAATTAAAATCTAAATTTGGAAAGTGAAGAGGTAGTAGACAAAAAAATAAACCTCTGCAAAAGAGATGCAAAATGAAAGGAAATAGGATTGAAACAAGAAGTGCCCAAAGATAAAAGAACTTTTTTGTTTGAAAATTTTATACGGTTGATGCTTAATTATTCACACTAATGAAGGGCAGGAGACATATGAAAATGAATAAACCAAACCATTTATATATAATTCTATTGAAAGTCCAATAGGAGTTTCCAAAGTCTGAGGGTTTATATCTTCTTTAAAATAAT